CTGGAGACGTCAGTCGTTCTATCGGTTAATACGACAATCAAGCAAACTGACTTCACACGTTATGCCAACCACACACCACTTCCGGAGGTGGGCGGTTCCGGATTGACCAGGCGGCCCTGGATTGAAACCGAACGCCCCGGGGCCTTAACGGGGTTTTTCAAGGTGGGAAGTTGCTGCAATGTGTGCAGCTACCCACATACAACCTCCAGGCACGGGAATTACTTCTCTAGCGTGCCTGAGCCCGACCTTTGCCTTTAAGTAAAGCCCCGTAACGAAGTACACATCGATGACATCTGCAGCTAAAGTTTTAGTTGGAACATTTTTTTACCGCACTAAGCCAGTTGTTAGTTATTCATAAAATTATTCCATATAGTGTATTTTCTTTCTCTTTGGACGGAAACTTTTCGGTTCCCATGTTTTTACATAACATTATATTGCATTCAGAAGAGATTTCTACAGAACATTATGTTTGAGTTCCACATCCCTTAGAAAAATGAACTTCAGGCCACCAAAAATGGAGGTCCAGTCGGTGAAACTTCGCCAAAGTGACAACTATCTTTAAAGGAATCTTCTCCGGAAAAATCATGATTCCATCACTATAAATCACTGGCTTGAGATAACAGATCATTGAGTTTACAGTAGACGGTTTCCAGCTTGACGGTGATGGCAGATGACGTCATATTTTGAGGAAGGTGAAGGCAAGAAGAAGGGCCTGTCTGTGCTACTGGGGGTTTGACGAACATTTTGTTGTTCACCAACAACGGCACCTAATGCGGGATATATGTGAATCGAAGACTCTTTTTCATAAAACTTTACTGATAACGTTTCGGGCCTAAGCCCTTCTTCAGATCAACTGAAAAACATTGCACAATACAATTCAACACAACAAACATTGTTAAATAGCAAGTGCATCCTACCTATGCCGTCCTACAGTAAAGGAGGGGGAAGGGGGAGGACGGGATGGTTGAGAACGGAAGAATGAGGAAGGTATGCTACGTGGGCTTTTAAGTGGGTCATGGGAAGGGAATGATCTTCTCATAGTCACGGTGACTTCCCTCTCGCACGTAGCACAGCCTCACATTTCTATAAGTCTCATTGCCATCTTCATTTCCTCCTTGTTGTTGATCGGTGGTGCACATTGCTTTATTTCCAATGCTTCCCTTATCTTTCGCTCGACCGGATCAACTATATTTCTGAAGAGAATGACAACACGAAGTTCCGGTGGCCTTTCTTGTGCGTGTCGAAGTGTGCGGTGTTTTGAGAATGGACTCTCTGGGTAGTTTTGAGGACTACGCAGGGCTCTTATGTGCTCGTCCATTCTCTTGTAGAGTGGCCTTCCCGTTTCTCCAATGTAACAATCTCCGCAACCGAGGCACTCTACCTTATACACAACACACCTCATCTGGCACACCTTCTGCTCCCCACAGATCGTGCAGTTTGTTCGTTCGCACCGATTTTCATATGGACGTGATGATGTCAGAATGCGTCGTAGCGAAGGTGGTGGTCGGAAGATCAAGTTTATTGGGAGTCCTGATCTCCTTACAACGCGGTCTACGTCCATTGCGAACTCATCGGTGATATATGGTAGTACGAGAGAAGTGCCAGATGGTGATCGACACGGCTTCCAACTTTGAAGTTGTCCTCTTTTATAACCATTTTGTCGCAATATTTCGTCTACTTCACACCTAATGCGACGAAAAGTTTGATGATGCGCCATGGGCAAAGTGACCCATTTTTTAGCCACCCTTGCGGATCCGATTTACTCGCATGGAGAGGAGGAATCTTTTCTTCCCTATTTTTTTTGCTTCAAACTCACAACCAGAAACCAAATGAACGTTTGAACGGAGGAAATGTCTTGTATAGATTGTGTTGTTGGAGTTTAAGAGTCATGTAAGTGAAGTAAACTCCCTCCAAACAATGTTCATAAAAGCTCACATAGAGTAGACCGATAACTCCTGTTGGGAAAGCCACTGCAAATAGTAAAAGAGCGAAAGTAGGCGCGAAAAGTGTGCATCGGAGATCCTTGCTGGAATTACTTCTTTTGTATTCGATAACTAGGCTGCAAAATTGCGTGTGAATGAAGCAGGTAATTCATAAAGATAAGCACTCACGATATAATTAATTACAGCATAAACAATAAGCGCTATGAATACTGCGAAAAAGTCGAAAACCTAAATGTAGCATAGCCAGCCGGAGAAATTTTGAAAACACCTATATAAAGATCTCGTTTTGTCATATTGGTCGGCCTCTGAGGCAGACAGCTTCCAACTTTGTCGACCAACTTATTCTCTGGAAATTCGTTTCATTTGCCCCTGTCATCCCTGTCCTTTGAAGCGAGAGTGGGCGGAAGTGGTGTAACGGCAAGTGGCACGCTTACCACGCGAGCGGTCCGGGGATCAAATCCTGGGTCGCCCGGGCCAACCAAGCCTTCCATCCCTCCGGGGTCGGTTAATTGGTACCAGACTTGTCTGGGAGGATAAAAACACTGACTTGTACATCGGCTGGCCCCGCAAGTCATTGTATAGGCCACATCGCATTCAAATGCCGCTACGAATATAGGTTGTCTCAAAAGTTCGTGCGTATTTTGAACTTCTTTTTGAGCCTACTCTATTTCAAGCACATGCACTACCTATCATCATTATATGTACCA